AACCGAACCGTGAATTTTGTGTATCGTTGCACCCCTAGTTTTTATTTTATTGGTGACGTATTTTATAAACTCTGGTTGCTATGAGAGACTCACTGATGCAGAAATGAGATTACGGTGACACAACCAGCGCTCGCTGACATCTCTCTAACCCGTCCTCAGGCACTCTTCGTCCTCTTCATCCTTGCCTACATCCACATTGCCTTCTCTCGCTCACCCATCAACTGTCTAGAGGTGGTAAGGGAGCGCTGGCCCCGTGACGGCATCCTGCGGGTTGAGATCCAAAGAAACTCGAGCCGGGCACCCATCTTCCTTCAGCACTACGACTCGGCGAGCCTCCATGATGAGCTGGATGCCGAGGAGGAAGGAGGGGGGCTGGCGATGGGCGGGCTCAGCCTTGCGATGCTGCCTGACGAAGAAGTGGAAGAGGAGGAGATGACTGTGGAGATGTTTGACAACAGCTCAGTGCAGGTGATCTCTCTCGCACTCTCTCTCGCACTCTCTCTCTTTTCTTCAAATTTTACTTAAATTTAGAAGAAAATTAACAGAAATTATGTCTTTGCCATCACTGGTGTTGGTGATTCTAGTGTTAAACCACAGCATCACACAGCCAGTTCACCTGCACAGGTGTAAACAAGCTTGGCTTGGAGCAGGTGAGCTGAAAGGAAGTGACAGACCTTAACAGAGCGCTTCCTCTTTAGCATCAGAATTCTGAATCACTTTCACATCCTGGTCCTGCAGAGCTGCAGCAAGTTCTAAATCCTCTGCTTATGTCACTTGTTGTTTTCCCTGTGAGTCAGAAGTGTTTAGTGAGTGTGTAGGTCTTCATAAAGTTTGAGAGTCACACAGATTTTGGGTTTTCCAATAGAAATGGAAAGTAGTAATAAGAGGATGGCGGTAAAACACTTGTTGGCAGGTGTGCCCTCTGGTGGTGTGTGAGCTCAGAGTAGTTCTGTGTATCTGGGGACTTAACTACCCTGAACACCTGACTCAGGTGAACTTTAAACTGCTATTGGCTGCTTCAGGCCTTGCGCACACGGGCCCCGAGTCGGGATCTTGCACTGATCCCGATCGCTGGAAGAAACGCACATTTTTGACTGTGCCAACATAGAGCCGCTTGGCAGGTGTTTGCAGACACGTCGGCATCATACAATCATACTACAACCTCCAAATGACTCTTTTGTCCTGTCTTCCTCCCATCGCCGTGTTCTATCGGAGGTCAGCAATCAAAGGGATATTTTTGGTGGAACAAAATGTGTAAGGAAACGTGTATACTACTTGCAAACTGGTTGGTGAATACACGTTTCCTTAGCAACAACAGGGTACCGGGAGCCTTTCGTATGGAACCCACAGTTGGGGGTCGTGATGGTTTTAGCGTTGCTCAGTGTCCCATTGAGTGCACTCCTTCAAGCCAGAGTAATGTGATGACCGCCAGTATTCATATTACTCTCTGGATACTCTCAAATTAAAAGCAGAAATGACCCTCAAAACCTTCTGCTGTCCTGCTGCAGTTTGAGTTGGACATCGAGCCCCGCCTGAAGCCATCTCTGGTTGGTGCAGGAGGAGGAGGAGCTTCAGGAGGAGGAGGAGCCAACGACAGCCAGGACGTCTCGTTCAGCCAGACCACTAAAGGTATGCAGCCGCTGCAGGACTCAGTGTCTGAGCTGGAGATGATGACCCGAGCAGGTAAACCGTTCTCCACCCCACCCCTGCCACCTCACCTCCTCTAACTCCGCCTCCTTATTCAGTCCAGAAACACCTGCTGAGCTGTTTAATGTTTCACAATTTAAGATTGTATGTATTTATTTTTGTGTTTTTCTGATGTGGTTGTTTACTTTGTTGTTCATTGTCGCAGTGTGGCCTCAGGAGGAGTACATCGTGGAGTACTCGCTGGAGTATGGCTTCCTGCGCCTCTCTCAGAGCACCAGACAGAGACTCAACATCCCTGTCATGGTCGTCACACTTGGTCAGACTCTGAGCCGCCGTGTCACACGACCTCAGCGTTGGCCAACTTGCACTCCCTAACCGCGTCTGTGTCTGTTCGCAGATCCGATGAAGGACGAGTGTTTCGGAGATGGCTTCAGTCGGTTCCTGCTCGATGAGTTTTTGGGCTACGATGACATCCTGATGTCGAGCGTGAAGGCGCTCGCCGAGAATGAGGAGAACAAAGGTGGGGTGGGCGCTGTAAATGGAGGGTGGGGCAGGGCACTTTGGTGTGATGCTACATTCACTGATTGGATTCAGAGAGCAGGTGTTTACTTCCAGTCATGTGACACAGCTCAGGTGTTTGTGTGGTTCTCTGCAGGATTTCTGAGGAACGTGGTCTCCGGTGAGCATTACCGCTTTGTCAGCATGTGGATGGCCAGGACCTCCTACCTGGCCGCCTTTGTCATTATGGTCATATTTGTAAGTACAAATACAGTAAATGACACACACTGATCGTTCGGGTTCGTTCAGTCACACAATGTCACGACTGAGTCTCGCGTTCTCTGTTTCAGACTCTGTCGGTGTCCATGCTGCTCAGATACTCTCACCACCAGATCTTCGTCTTCATTGGTCAGTTCCTCATACCATTCAGTGTTGACCTTTGACCCCGAGCCTCAGGTCTATTCTGACTCTCTCCTTAACCCCCTACAGTTGATCTCCTGCAGATGTTGGAGATGAACATGACCATTGCCTTCCCAGCAGCCCCTCTGCTCACTGTCATCCTGGCCCTCGTAGGTGAGTCCAGATCCCATTCTGTTTGAGGACGCTTCTGAACCTCTGTCACCTGGGTCCTGATGCGTGGCCGAGTTCTTTCCGTTATCTGCCTTCCCTTACCCTAACACTGGCAGTCAGGATAAGCGGTCGCGTGGGGCCTGTTATCAAGCCAGGCCCACGTGCCCCTTCACATCAAAGGGTGGCAGCATCTGACAAATCATAGAGGGGTATTTCATAGCTCATATGACTCCTCTACCAAAGAAAAGTGTTCCCCCTGCTCCAGAGATGTTATCAAAGGGTTCTAAAAATCTTTAAAGATTATAAAAATATATCAGTAAAATGCAACATTGTTGTGAAAATGATGTGATAAATTCCTCAGAAACATCTTAGGTTAATCTGGACACAAGCATTTTAATTCCAGTCAGTAGTTTTATGGCTGAGTAAATACTTTTTAGTTTACTTTTCACAGAATGCTCTGTCATATCAGGGAGTGAGCTTCTGGAATAGTCTTCCACTGTCAGTGAGGGAAAGTCCAAGTCTACTCATCTTTAAGAGTCAGTTAAAAGGGTGGCATGTGATCATGTTTAATAATCATGCTTTATATTGGATGTGAAAAAGAGTTATTGTGTTACAAAAAGGGAAACAACTATTAGTGTAATGGGTCAGTGCAATATCAGGACAGTCAGGGCATGTGCAATACTGGGGTTTGTGCAATATAATTGATGTGTTTCCGTTATTGTTATCTATATTGTCCTCTGTGTCCACTCTTCTTGGTTCTAGTATAATGTGATCACTGTTTTTGTCCTTGTCATATGACCTGTAAATAGTAAAAACATACAGAGACACTAACTTGTGTTTAACACCAACCTGCCATAGGGTCTGCAGATGGAAATTAGCCCAAGGCTATAATCTGGCATATTTACATTTGTTAAAATGTTCATTAATATGTATTGCCCCTCTTTCTAAATAAAATAAAATAAATAAATAAAGCAGCGAGAGAATAAAAACTATGGTTTGATAGTAAAGATTAAAAACAACTGAATTTAAACAGGCTCAGGGCTACATAGAAATCTGATCTAAGGTGAGCAGGTACAGTGCAGGTTAGGGTTAGGGCCTGCATGTCTGCTGTGATGCTGTTTACAGTCAGTCCAAAACGCTGCAGCTAGCTTGAGAGGTCACATGACTCCAGTGTTAGCAGCCTTACACTGGAGTCGTGTGACTGCATTTTTTTTTTTTTTTTTTAAAGCTTTTATTGAGCTTGTTTGTGTAGCTGCGTCTGTCAATCACAGATTGCTCAGGCCTGATTGTCAGTCGGCTGATATCAGAGCAGCTCGTGACTCTGCTGTACCGACACTGATGTTTTGTTTTTTTTGTTGTTGTTGTTTTTTGGGATCCTGTTTGTTCAGTTTAAATAAAGATTAAAGTCAAAGCGCTGAAGGTTCCTGGCAATAAAAATAAGCGTCAAATTAAAAAAATGTTTGTAAACAGACTGGATGGACGTTAGCCTTGGTTGGGGGGGTGCGGCTTACATTTAAAGCTGACCTGTGATGTCACTTTCTGTCTCAGGCATGGAGGCCATCATGTCAGAGTTCTTCAATGACACAACAACGGCATTCTACATTATCCTCATCGTGTGGTTGGCAGATCAGTACGACGCCATCTGCTGCCACACAAACACCAGCAAACGCCACTGGCTCAGGTGAGGTCACTTTCTGTGTGTGAGGTCATTGTTACAGAATTAAGTTGAAGGGGTTTCTGGTCATTTGATCAATAACCAGATCGATCAGGCTTTGGCCATTTTTATTGTGAATGTCTCTTGTCAGCCTGCAGACCTTCAAGACTGATCATGTGATCTGTTCTCCCTGCAGGTTCTTCTACCTTTACCATTTCGCCTTCTACGCCTACCACTACCGCTTCAATGGCCAGTACAGCAGCCTCGCCCTCGTCACTTCCTGGCTTTTCATCCAGGTAAGTGTCGTCATCCTCATGCCTGTGCTAAGCCCCTCCCCTCAGACAGTAAATCTAACATTTTTGTCCTCTCGCAGCACTCCATGATCTATTTCTTCCATCACTACGAGCTTCCGGCCATCCTGCAGCAGATCCGGATCCAGGAGATGCTCCTGCAGAACCAGCAGGCTGGTCAGAACCAGACGGCTCTGCAGGATAACCTCAACAACAACATTGGCACTGCCGCCACTGGAACGGGACCCGCCAATGCCCCCCAACCAGGGCCGACCAGTGGAGCCGAGCCAGGGCCTCAGACAGATTCCCTTC